ATATCATTTCTTATTTCCTAAAACCCCCACTCAATTATTGGTAGGTCACAAATTATGACCCGACATTCACCTTAATGCTTTAAATGTGTACATTTTTTTTTTTTTTTTTTTTTAGCATGTATGAGACTTTAAGCTTCTTGAGGGTAGAATCGATGTCTGTTTGTTTTTTTTTTTGTTTTTTTTTTTAAGTTTTGTATACCTCAAAACATCCAATACTATATCTGAAAAACCACTGAGTAGGAACCTACCATTGAGGTGACAATTATAAAGATTTTTTTGAATGAGTAATGCATGGAAATGTACCACATTTACCCTACTTCACACCACAGCCACATCTCCATTCTGTAGGTCCTGGGTTTCTGCTGAATATTTCATTTATGAAAAGAGAGACAAGGAGGAAGAGGCAACCTTTTGGATCATCTACTGAGCGAGGCACATTACAAAGGTTGTCTAATTTTCATTTTAGCCCTTTGAGGGAGGTATTTGCTAAACCACATATCTAGGTCATTGATAGCGCTGCGCGTGTGTGAGTTCTGGAAGCTACACTTTTCATTACATGGTATTTGTTTTTGAGTCAGACTTTGTAACAATGTTCACAACTTCTTCTCAAAACCAACTCATTTTCAGCTGTGCCTCTATTAAATATGTAGTTATTAGACTGTGGTTTCTTCTTTCAGACCCTGGCAGAGCTTTGAAGCTCAAGACAAGACACTTAAAGCAAATGCTCATAGCAGATCAATGCCCAATGAGAATGTAGCAGTCCTGAAATGACTTTGAGAATCAACCAGAAATTCAGTCTTTATTTATATGAACTTCACTCTGGAATCCATGAAGAAGCCCAACAGGGAGAGTTAGTCTAAGGAAAATGATTTATTCTGGCCTCCATGGCCTCCAAGCAGAAAGTAAAGAACTCAGCTATATCCTAGGAGACCTGAGACAATGTCTTTGTATGAGTATGGAGATGAGAAAGGGCTCCTCCACAGGTATCACCTCCTGGATAAATACATCTCTTGGCAGCTGATGGCTACAAATGGAATTTGCTGAACAAATGGGGTGAGAAAAGGCTGTGGGAGTCTGGGACAGCTGGAACTTTGGGAGAGGGCATTGCTAGCTTATTATCCTTGGCCAGGAAGTGCTGTTCATTCTTTTTAATACCTGGCCTGTCTCGGCCAAAGTAGCTCTACCCAGAATCCTAACTGGAGAGGAATGCATTATTTTCCTTGGATCAGATTCAACCTGAACCTCATAGACAAGGCCCTCTGATTCTCAGGTCAGGATTTACAAACTGCCTTTGCCATTTCCGTTTGGTCTCTCACCTCTGCTTCATATTATGAATGGGCTCATGTCAATGCACGTTTGACTTCAGTTCTTGTACAACCTTGGCAAACTTTCCTAACGTTTGACATTTCTGATCCATAAATGTGTAGATTCCCAGCCAGAATTAATTTCTTATCAATTTATGGGCACTTTTATGTAGCTTTTTTTTTTTTTTTAATTCAAACCTCTTGGGCTAGTTGCTTATATAATCATCTCCCTCATAGATATAATTATCTCTGGTTCCTTGACTAATCCTTATCATATATCATAAGGTTACACTAGATAGGTAGGTAGACAGATTCACACTTGTATTTGTGATGTACATATATCAATAAATGTTTGTTGAATTATATTAAGTTTAGGGAAAAGTTCACTTGTCTAGTCTAATCATAATAACTAATTCTTATACAGTACTTCCTATGCCAGAAAGTCTTCTAAGAAATTTTCATATGTTAATTCTTTTAATCCTCACACCAATTCTCTAAGGTTAATACAATTATTTTCTTTTCTTTTCAAAATTTATCTTCATTATCCAAAGTATTACATATGTCCCACCAACCCCCTTTGACTCACTCTCCATACCCCGACCCCTTCCTTCCTCACACTATTGTCTGTGTCCATGGGTTATTATATCCTATATAATAAAAGCCTAATATGCCAAGTGTCCCACCATTTATTAGACCATTCAACCAGTCGCTATGATGTGCACTGACCATCAGGGGTCAGATGCTCTGACCAGTAAGTTAGCTTGCTGCTGGGGTCTGGCCAATCGAAACTGGGTTAGATGGGCCAAATATGCCCTGGACAAATCTGTGTACTGGGTTGGTTTTGGCCCATTCCCTGCAGGCCAGGCCGAGGGATCTCATTGGTGCACAAACCTGTGCACTGGGCCTCTAGTATGCATATAAATTCTTTGTTTAATCTCTTCCTGTCCCTCTAAGATTCATCAGTTTGGACCATGCTTTCATGTCTCTTAATTTTTTGTTGAAATGGTAAATGGGATCATTTGTTTAGTTTCTCTTTCTGAGAATTCATTATCGGTGTATAAAAAAGCCATCGAGTTTTGGTTGTTGATTTTGTATTCTGCTATATTGCCAAATTCATTTATTAAATCTAGTAGTTTTTGGTGGAGTCTTTAGAATGTGTGTGTGTGTGTGTGTGTGTGTGTGTGTGTGTGTGTGTTTACATGTTATCTGTGAATAATGAGAGCTTTATTTCTTTCTTTCCTATTTGGGTGCCTTTACTTCTTCTAGTCTAATTGCTGTGGCTAGGACTTCCAGTAATATCTATAACAATAAGAGCATAATATGAAAATAGACCAGACCACCAATCAGCAGAGTGACCATCTGGACAACCTTCCAGAAGACCATGCTATGACACATTCTGGTACCAGGCTAGCCAAGGCAGGTGTGATGCAATTGGTTGGAGGGCCCTGCCATCGCCCCATGATTGCCTTACAGAGGCAGGCCCAGGCCACCCTTTGTGGGGTGATTGATAGAGGGACTCCACGATCCATTGCTCCACAGAGGGGGGCCCAGGCCAGCCAAGTGATCACATCCTACACCTGTCACCTGTAGAGGGAGGTGACTGGTCGAGGGGTTGCAGCACTCCACAGATGGCAAGCAATGGCAGTGGTGGAGGCAGGGCCAGCTGCCAGCAGCTGGGGAAAAGAAAGCCCAGATAGGCCCTGATCGCTGGCCAGGCCTAAGGACCCTACCCGAGGGGTCCTGGATTGCAAGAGGGTGCAGGCCAGGCTGAGGGACAATCCCCTCTCCTCCATGCATGAATTTCAGGCCTCTAGTCCTATATAATAAAAGGCTAACGTGCAAATTGTCCCTTGGACTGGGTATTTGACCAGGAGTTCAACCAGGATTTTGACCAGGGGGTGGGGCCAGCCTGCCAACTGTCTGAGGCCCTCCGTCCTGCTGGCCCAGCTGAATCGGCCCCAATAGGGGCAGGCCAGCCAGACACCACCTGTGCATGAATTCATGCACCAGGTTTCTAGTGTTGAATAAGAATGGTGAGAGTGGATATCTGTATCTTGTTCTTGTTCTTAGGGGAAATGATTTTATTTTCTGCCCATTGAGTATAATGTTGGTTGTGGGTTTGTATGGTTTTTATTATGTTGAGATATGATTCTTCTATTTCCACTTTGCTGAGTGTTGGATTTTTGTCGAATGCTTTTTCTGAGCCTATTGATGTGATCATGTGATTTTTGTCTTTCAATTTTTCTAATGTGATGTATCACATTTATTGATTTGCAAATATTGTACCAGCCTTGCATCCCTGCAATAAATCCCACTTGATCATGGAGTATGGTCTTTTTAATATATTGCTGGATCTGATTTGCTAATATTTTGTTGAGGATTTTAGCAACTGTGTTTATTGGGGATATTGGTCTATAACTCTCTTTTTTTGTAGTGTCTTTATCTGGTTTTAGAATTAGGATAATGCTGATCTCATAAAAAGACCTTGGAAGTGTTCCTTCTTGGTTTTGAATAGTTTGAGGAGAACAGGTGTTAATTCTTCTTTGAATGTTTGGTAAAACTCCCTTGTGAAGCTGTCTAGACCAGAGCTTTTGTTTACTGGAAGTTTTTTGTTTTTGTTTTTTTATTTTTTTATTAATTCTTCAATTTCATCCATTGTTATCAGCTAATACTAGTACGTTCATCTCCATTCTCTAAATAAAGAACCAAAGGCACAAGAAAGTTAAGTAAATTGTCCAGGGTCATACTAATCTAACTCAGAAAGACTGTCTCTAGGATCCATGCTCTTTATTCTATGATGCTTTTCACTTATACTAATGGAAGAATAACAAGTTAATTACACATGGGCAAAATGTTTCTTTAGAATTTTGAGATACTACTGCCTATAGGAACTCACATCTCCACCAACATACAAATTTTATTTGTTCATTCATTCACTTTTTTAAAAAAATATATATATTTTATTGATTTTTTACAGAGAGGAAGGAAGAGGGATAGAGAGTTAGAAACATCGATGAGAGAGAATCATCGACCAGCTGCCTCTTGCACACCCCCTACTGGGGATGTGCCCGCAACCACGGTACATGCCCTTGACCGGAATCAAACCTGGGACCTTTCAGTCCACAGGCCGACGCTCTATCCATTGAGCCAAACCGGTTTCGGCTCATTCATTCACTTTTTATTCAGTGAATATTTGTTGAGTGTTTACCAATGTGTTTGTATATGCTAACTCCTTGGGGTAGGTGAAGTGTGTGTGTGCACGCGCATACACACACATGCACCTCTGGGCAAGCTCATGTGTTAGGGGAAACAATTTCTTTTCCTTTTCCCTGAATCATAAATTTATTTTTTATTTAGAGAAATTCAAAATCTTATTTTGGGCCTATTCCTGATTCTGTCACCCTCTGGTATTTTAGGAAAAGGAGAAGTTGAGGAGAGAGGGGAGGAGAAACCATGAATGAGGGGTCTCAGAAAATACACTTATACTGCTGCATCAAGGGTAACAATCAGTTTCCATGCCAACTTCCATTCTAGTTTAATCAATTCCTACCCAAGCCCTGGACTTGACTGCCATATGTGCCTCAACACCCATCCCCAGCCATTGCCTATTGGACCAGAGAAAGACACATAACTGAAGGTAAATCATTGTACCACGAGTGAAGAGACACAGCAGTGCTAGTATGTTAAAAGCTCACCTGGGAGTCATGTGGACCTGAGCCTTGGGTGTGGACTTGGGTTGTGACCAGAGAAGATAGCTGGTGCCTGCGAGAAGCAGAGTTCAGGGAGACCACCTGTGGACTGAGAGACAGAAAGAGTACCTGAAATTCTCAGCTTCTGAGCTCCAGCCCTGGGAGAGCTATCTGAGTTTAAGTGCTCGGCTTTCTGTGAGTTTCCATATTGTTAGACCTTCCCAAGGAAACCCCAGGTGCTTTTGAAATAGCTTCAGCATATTTCTTTTCTCTAACACATAATGACCCTTGGCTTTGACAGGCAGTGAGTGACTCCTCTTTCCTTCAATGAGGAAACTTTTGGAAAATAGGCTCTCAAGCCCAAGAGTATGACAGTGTTTCCGTACTGCCATTTAAATTAATGAGGAAATAATGTACTTAGCTTAGGCCTCAACTTCTCTACTGTAAAGACACAGATAAGCCAATGATCTTTGCTTCCTCTTTACTCCTGAGCTCTGCATAGTAGTATTTGATGAATGTCTCTGAAGAATGGAAATAGTGTTGTGAAGAATGACTGTGGTTTTAGGTAAGGGCCAGGCCAGGCCAGGCCAATTTTGCTCTCTGGCTGTTGGAATGCTGCTGTGCTTTGGATGCATCTCAGTTCTGCTCAGAACAAGGTATGGAGTAGTCCTCAGAATCAATGAAACAACCAGGTAAATCAATATAAACAACTAAAATAGAGGATATAAAAATATCAGATGATGGATTATGGGAAAATTTCTACCTCTTTAAGTACCTGCAGATGCATAGGAAATAGAAAAGTTATGGGGTTGCCTGTATGCCAGGTTGCCCTCAATTTTCTTATGCCTAAAGTGGGGATATGAATAATAGATTAGATAATCTATAAGGGCCCTTCCAGCTCTCTGGATGACTTTGAGTGGAGTCAGAATCATCCTAGAAAAGTCAGCAATTTAACTATTTAAAAAGATGGGATGCAACTGACCTTCTAGCATATATTTATATAGTATTTGCTCAAGGGGGCCAGTAAGTGATAGTGCATGCGTTTTTACTAGGGGTTGAGTGATGGAGAGTTTAGTTTGTGTTCTTAAAAAGTACACCCTTTGCTCTGTGATTCCTTGGATGAGTGGTCCAGAAAAATGGAATTTCCACTGTAAGAGCAGCCAAAGGTGGGGACCCCATAAGAGAGATTAAAATGGAAGCCTGTGGGGTCTGGGGTGTAAAGCAGAGTTTAAATTAATGAGGAAAAATGTCTAATGTGCTTAGCCTAGTGCTTCTCATGTTGAAGGTGCTTGGTATAGGCAAGACCTTTTCCTTTTGCTCCCCTTGCTTTTTCACCTTTAGTTTCACTAGACTCTGCTTCATAAGATCAATCTAACCACATGTGGGTGTTTTAACCTGCCTTCATAGGAAACCAGTCAAACTCATTCGTAGTGGAATTAAACTCATTCATAGTGCCAAGAAAAGACAGAGGAAGAGGACGAAGAGAATTTCTGGATGAAATAACTCAACTACTCTCAGAAGCAAGATTTGTTATGGATAAATGCTAGCTGATTGGCCATACAGATACTTCCAGGATGAGAAAGAACACAGGCTAGAAGAAACGGAAGTGAAAGCCAGTCCAAGCCAGGATGAAGTGATGCTATTATTCAGTTAATTAAGGGGTGTTTTTACAGTAGATCCAACCTCATGTTGTGTGTTTAGAAGTCCAGTAAATATTAAAACAATGAGATGTTCTAGGACAAGATAATAATAATAAAAAAAAGACTTTGTAAGGACTATGTGTTAGCATATCATTCAAAAATACATAAATGTAACTTTTGCTTTTCAGAAAATAATCTATTTTTTGGTGGGGGAGGGGTAGAAAGGATAGAGAGATGCTTAGCTTTGGAGCCAACAGGAGAAAATTGGGATACTGAGGAATGAAGAGAGAAAGTCTGCATGGCCTAACAGTTAGACCAGTGGTCAGCAAACTGCGGCTCGCAAAGCACATGCAGCTCTTTGGCCCCTTGAGTGTGGCTCTTCCACAAAATACCCCGGTCTGGGAGAGTCTATTTTGAACAAGTGGCATTAGAAGAAGTTTAAGTTTAAAAAATTTGGCTCTTAAAAGAAATTTCAATTGTTGTACTGTCGATATTTGGCTCTGTTAACTAATGAGTTTGCTGACCACTGGCCTAACCTGTGTTCCCTCCCGGCAGCAATTAGCTTGATATCTGCAGCCATTTTTGGGGGGGGGGTGGAGGGGCAACAAATTAAATAGGTAACTAGCCTCTCAGGCATTGAGAACTCTATTTGTGAAGACTTCATGGTCATGAACTTGATTTTGATGTTTACAAATAGTATGGATGAAGCATGGATGAGAATTCACAAAAACACACATCAAACCAAAGGCACATAAGTTTTCTATGCATAGATTTGTACTTTCTTCAAAGTTCCACCCTGAATTCTATTTAATGCTTAAGACAACCTTGCAAGGGAGGAATTAGTTTAATCATTTTTAGAAGAAGAAACTGAAGCTCAGAATGTCAATAATTTTTCCAAGTGATCTCCAAAGTAGGAATTTAATGTTTTCACAGCCAAATTCACTCCCCACCCAACACCTGTCTCTATTGATTAGATCTCCAAGGGCTCTAAGTCATACACTCCCTGTGAAAATCATTATATTAAGAAAATTTAGCCTGTCCTGCACCCAGCTGCTATTCTCATTTTCTGTTACCAGATGAATAAACCATTATTCAATGTTCTAATTCAGTAGTTTTCTAACTTTATAGACAAAAGGATCACTGGATATCTTTTACAAATGCAAAAGATATCCCACCTTCAGAACATTTTGAGACAATGGGTCTTGGGAGGGCCAAGGAAATCTCCATTTTTAAAAATAAAAAATGAAAATTTCTCTAAAGTGTGACTATCTTTGAGGAGTGACTATACCTATAGTGTTCACTTCTATGTCACCAGTGCCTAGTACAGATGACATAGTACCTAGCAGACACCCAATGTATACGCACTCAATGGTGGAATAAATATGGAATCCTGAGACAGTGTCATTCCAAGTGTGTCACAGAACTCTCATCTTCAGGAGTATTCTGCACAGTGACTTGTCAACCCTCCACATGTATGGCCAGACATACCCATGTGCCAGGCATCCAGGACTGTTAACTAAACAGCCTCATTTCTTTCTTTCCCCTAAAAGTGATTACTGGTTGCTAAATATTCAAACATGCATTCAAAAAGCAGCTCATTACAATATGTTAAGAAAGAAATTACTATTTCTAATTGCTTCTAGTAGTTAATTACTTCTAATTATTAGTCTGAATGAAAAATTACTGCTTCTGATTACGTTGTGAGCACAGTTGGAGCATTCAAAAATGCAATTTCCACTGTTGTTTACATCAGAATGTGTTTACTGAATTAGAGCGCTATAATTACCCCCACATAGCTGGTAGCAAAAAATAATAACATTTGATAAATTCAATCAAAATATGTCATTTGTTTGTTAGCTTATTGCAGAGATCAAGCATTAAAATGAATGCTTGACTTTTTCAGTTTCTTCAGGGGGCAAAGATATGTTGAAATTGGGATTTTTGTTTGGCTAAATAAGAATTACATTAGCATTTCTTTTGTTATTTAAAATAACAAGGAAAATAATCAGGCCTTAATAGTGTTAAAAATTGGTTACTCAACCAGCATACTGGTCATGGGAAAAAAGAAATGATTTTTTTTTTCCACTTAAAGGGAAAAAAAAAACCCAGAACAATTTCATTGCATTAGAACATATCTAAAGTACACAAATATTAAGTGTGCAACTTTAAGACTTCCAAGCCCCTGGATTGAATCTGTCACTTCACTTACTAGTTTATTTGGTCAATGACAAAAGTAGATATTTTATGGCAAGCTGTAGGCTGACATTTTAAAATCTCCTACTGTTTGCCACAACCACATATCACCAGTACTTTTCCCCCATGGTGATTTGTCACTAGCCCATGGGGGCTGGACAGACTCTTCAGAGGTTTCCAAGATCTTTATCTCTGGGGTTGCCTTTGTGTATTCTCCTCTCCTTGAGTGTGGATAGGACTTGTGACTTGCTTCTAACCAACCACATGGGGCTGAGAAGGGATATTCATGACGACATGAATGTGATTAATTACATAAGACTTAGGGTCCATCATGCTGGAGCCTCTGGTCCTTTGCTGGTGTTGAAGAAGCAAGCACCATGGTGGGAAACCCAGGTGGAAAGAAGCTATGGGCAGCCTCTAAGAGCTGAGGGTGGTCCCCAGACAACAATCAGCAAGTAACTGATGTTCTCAGTCCTACAACTGCAAGGAACGAAATTAGGCCAACAGCCTACATACCCTTGGAAATAGATCCTTCCCAGTCAAGCCTCAGATGAGAGGTGGCTGCTTTCAAGCTATAACAGCACAGTGGAGTGCTTGCAACAGAGAACATAAAGACTCACAAAACCTAAATTATTTACTCTCTAGCCCTTTACAGAAAAAGTTTGCCAACCTCTAACCTAAACAGAACTAGTACATCTGAATTTAAGTTGTTTATCCTTAAAATGTTTCCACAAGATGCATACATATACATTCAGAAGCAATTGGTCATTTGATTTCATAGTTCAACTAACCAAACTCAAAGGCAATAGAAGATATAAGTCACAAGGATAAAAATTCACTGAGTTCAAAGTACGTTTGAGTGGAGAAAAGTTGCAGCATTACTTTTTGGGAGTGAGATTTATTTGTGCTGGTGCTTCTTTTGAAAACCTGGGTCCTGTCTTAATGTTTTTAGGCACAAGCATAGACACACCCTTGTGCATGTCATTCCTTGGAACTGTTTGACAGGAGCTTCACAAATAGTAATCAGTCTATTTGATGTGCAAATGTGAGAGTTGCTTCTTTGGGGCCAGTGGCTCCCTGACTTGGGAAGTATTCAAGCAGAGAATGGGCACTTCCTCATCAAAGATGCTACAGAGGTCACTTGACCATTGCCTGGCATATGGTGGGTGCTAAAAAATACTAACCCAATGAGAAAATAAGGAAAGTTAGATTAGATAGCTTTGAAAGTCTGTTCAAGCCAATATCTAATCCTTTTATAGCATTTAAATACCATGGC